CAGCTTGGCCACCATGTCCAGCACCCTCACGGGCTCGCCCTGCTGCTCGCCGGGGCCGCAGGGTCCCCTCTCCGCGTGCGCCTCGCAGGCCGCGGCCGAGGAGAACGGGTCGGAGCTGGGAAGGGTCCCCTTGGGTTGAGCACTCAGCCTGGTGGCAGGAGCAGCCGTGCAGGTTTTAGCACAGTCTACCAGTAAAGCGTTTGCTCTCTGCTCCAGGAAGGCCACCATCTCTATCACCGACAGGGACCGGCCCGGGAACACTCCCTCTCCGCTCTCGCTCACGTAGTGCACCGAGCAGTGCTCGATGCCACAGGCAAAAGGCTCCGGCTGGGAGCACCTGGCATTCGCCTCCCTCATTCTTTCCAGTTGAATTTTGGCTTTTTTAAGATCCACTGATTTTTTCCTGCGTTTGGCCGTCCTCCCGTCGATGTCCCACGTGCTCTTGATTTTCATGGAGCCCAGGCGGCTGCTGCTGCACTGCTGGGCTGCGAAGAAGGCGATTTTCTCCTTCGTGTTCCCAGGTTTCACCACAGCCCAGACATCCAACGGCCCTTCCCCTTCTTCCCCCTGGTGGATGGTGGCAGACAGGGTGTTCTTCTTGTCCCTTGCGCTCAGACCATCCGCTGGGCCCTTCCCGTTCATATTGCACATAGTATTTGGATAAATAATCCCCAGAAGCTTTTGAGATGGAGCCACGAGGGAGGGTTTGGGGAAAACGCTCAGTTTGGTGCAGTTGGTATATTTTTCTCCTTGTGCTGATCCCTGGTGGCCACGCAGGGAGTCTTGGCTTATTTCTGGGGATCGCTCTTTCTTCTGTAACTTGAGATATGGCTTTAAGTGCATACCAGAAACCCTGGAAAAACAGAAAGGGAAGAAGTTATAGTTGCTAACTATGCCTGCCTGCAGTTAGGGAAGGTGGCCTAGAGTAGGTACCAGCTCACACCTCAAGAGGAACCACATGAGAAAGAAAAAATAGCAATCAAGGCTGCAATATTCACCCTTGGAGAACTTCCTGCAGTAGGACAGTGATCTTAAGGAGAGCAGAGATCTTCCTGTTAGGGTAATCTCTAATCTAAGGACTTGCAAGGAGAAATCCTAAAGTTCAAGTTAGACCTGTTGTGAAAACATTGCTAGTGGTTCATCCCAGACTTAGAGCCATCCTTGTGTCTGTTCATATCTCAATCCAGTTGGAAGTTACACGTGGCTCACAGGGTTTATCTGGGTATTAGCTACCAGATATAGATATAGATCTGTATTATTTTCATAGACAAAGTACAGTTAAAGCTGAAAAGGAAAATTAGCAGAGTAATTATATGCATCAGAAATCTCAGCAGATATCTAATCTCCTAATACCACCCAAAAATCACAGAATGGGTTGAGCTGGAAGGGATCATTTTGTTCCACCTCCAGCCATGGGCAGAGACACCTTCCACTAGCCCAGGCTGCTCCAAGCCCCATCCAACCTGGCCTGGAACACTCCCAGGGATGGAGCAGCCACAGCTGCTCTGGGCAATGAAACTTATCCTTTAACATACTGATAATGTCAAATCTGCTGACTCTGAGTCTTTACATTATACATCAGACACTCCCAAAAGTGGCAGAAGCATCACAGATGGCTGAAGGACCCACTGCCAAGGACATGGTTTTACAGCCAGGAATTTCAGAGCTGTGAAGGAGCCATTTGGGCACTGCTGACCCCACAGCAGCAGCCACAGGCACTCAGCTCCTCCACTCCACCACACCTCCACAGCCACCCAAAGCACAGGGCCCAGGGCACTGCCACACGGGATGCAATTATCAGGAGACTCCAGGCTCTTCTCCCAGGAGTATCACATAAGCATATTACAGAACTAACTATAGATTATGTTTCCATGGTAATCTTTGAATTGTTACACTCAAAGGCCTCTTCTCTGAAACGGGGATAATCTGAGCTTGCTAGTTCAAGAGCAGCAGGTTCAATGTCACATTCATCATGAGCTGATGCAGACACATTCAGGCACTGAACACGTTTCCCTTGAGAGCCAGCACCAAGACAGTTGCTCAAGTATTACATTTCTAGCCTAGAAACAGCTTTTAATTAAAAACCTCAAGCCACAACATCTATAAAGTCCAATAAATTCCTAGCTGACGCTGCCCAAGTGGAGGAACCTCCAGCACTAGCCATGCTGCTTAACCATTGCTTTCCCTGGAGCTTTGGTTCCTCCTTCTGGCACTGGTGGTAAGTGAGGGGCAGGCAGAGAGGTTTTGGGGAGGTACAGGAAGAGGAAGGGCTTAATTCACTTTTCTAAGCCCCTTTGGTCCATGCAGTGCCTGGAAGGCCAGGAAGGATGGGGAGGATGGTGCTAAGTTCTCTCCCTTCTGATTTGAAAGGAAGATCATTACCTCACTCCTGCAGCAGACAGTGCCAAACCCACCTGCAGCTCACCTACAGACTGTGGGGGTAAGAGACCTCACTGCTGCAGAAACACCTACCCAGTCCCTGGGTTAATTCTCTCCCCATGCCTCCTGCATGCTAATTCCAGCTCCTTGGAATTGGGTCACCTCCCAATTTAGTCTCCTCTGCAAAATGCAATGAAGCTATTTTGTTTGCCTTCTCAGTCGGATGCAAAAAACTAAAATAATCTCACAAAAATAGAACTTCAGGGTGCTAAAATAGAGGCACAAAGAGAAAAATGAGAACTCGAGGCTGCTGGAGTTTGCTTCGACCTCATTTTCCATAGGGTCTGATCCTTTTGGTCGTGCTTTAAGGAGCAGCAGTGTCAGGTCACTGATGTGGCCTGGTGAAAGCCCAGCCCAGGGGAGCAGCAGGTGAAGCACTGCAGCAAGCTGCTGCAGAGAGCAGTGCCTGCAGCCCTCCCTGCCCCATCCAGAAGGACATTCCGGAGCTCTGCTTCCCAGACTGGAGAGAGAGAAAAGCTCCGATGGCCTCCTGCCACCATACCCTGGGGAGAAGAGGTGAATACAATTAAAGACACGACTTTGCATGCTGAAATCTCCTGAGGTAGGAGCAGAAGCTCAAATTTCATTCATGAGTTATCATGCCAAGGTGTTTGAAAGCTGAGCTGGAAGGTGTTTTTAACAGGCTTTCTTCGAGTAGTTTTCAGGAATCCAGCGGGACAATCGGCTCAACACCCTTCATTAAGAGAAGCTGCAAATCAAGGTGAGAGCAGGTATGACATGAATAAAAACAGGACCAAACTGGTTACCCCAACAGGCTCAGGGGACATGTTTAGCCAGCCAAGTTGGTTCAGCTGCTCCCAGCTATTTCTGGTCCATGGAGAAAGACAAAGGGTAGAGTTATGCCTCACCTATTACGGATTTCTTGTTTAAGGTTATATTTCCTCCTATGTTTCAGTTAGTCCCTGGCTCAGCCAACAATACCATTTAAGGTTGAAAAGTTATAATTTACATAACAAAATTATGCCTTAGTCAGAAGTTTTACTGCCAGAATAATTGCCTCATTTGAATTCAGCATTCAGTTCATTGCACATGTTTTAATGGACCCAGATTTAAAGAAAACCTTCATCTAATAACTTCAGACAGCTCTAAAGAGCACTGTAAACTCCACCTGACCAGCTGCCACCTGCCTCAGTTTTCCAGTACTTGGGAAGAGAACTTCCATTTTAAAGGAGATCTTAAGTAATGGACCTTACCTGAAAGTGTCACTTGGCAAAAATGAGCTCCCACCTCACACTCACTTTGCTGTGGGTATTAAGGACGAACTTTTAGGCAAACACATCTTCTTCCCTGCACGTCAGCAGCACATTTCATCTCCAGCTCCCAGAATTAGAACTAGGCTTCCCAGCAGAAACTGCTTTGAAGATGAACCAGACCCAGTCCCCACCCACAGACTACCCTATTTCTGCACCATCCCTGTGCTGGCAAGCACAGAACTGTGGCAGCTGCAGGTAAGCTGTTAAATATTTAAAACCTCCAAAAATAGTTGTTAAAAGGTGAAGTCCCTGACAATCCTTATGATGCTTAATTCCAGAATAATTCTGTTTGCTTTCCTCCACCCTTTCAGATATCAAGCTTTCTAATTTTATCTTTAGAGACAAGGACTCTTCAGAAGTCCACAGAGCAAACACAGGTTTTCAATCCCAAATGTGTGGTTTCAAATTGCTGATAAGAGAGAATTCTGCCAGCAATGATCAGCACTGAAACAACGAGCAGAGCTGCCTTTCTACTGTTATTCCATCCTTAAGCTGATGAAATAAAGGGGCCAGTTTTTTTCTATTCCTAATCAGCTGTGTCTGAAAAACAGGATACTTGCACTGCTGGAATGACACTGCTGTTTTTACAAGTCATAGCTACAGCTTGTTTCCACTGGGGCTTTATCCAGTTAGTTACTACACACTGTTGATAGAGAAATATATTCCTTTATATGAGTGCAGACACATACATAGTCCTCCTCACCCCACACTGAAGGGAAGGAAAGTGGACTCCCCATCCCTGGGAGTGTTCCAGGCCAGCTTGGATGGGGCTTGGAGCAACCTGGGCTAGGGGAAGGTGTCCCTGCCCATGGCAAAGGTTTGGAACTAGATGATCTTTAAGGTCCCTTCCAACCCAAACCATTCTGTGACTGTATCTACTTGCCAAGCTGGCCAGAATCTTTCTGCATCCTTTTGTATTTCTATCTGTTCTAAATCACAGCAGCCTAAGAAAACAATGTATTTGCTTTAGTGGAAACTCCAAAGTTGGATGAAAAACTGGTCGAAAAGGCTCAATTTGCACAATTCCTTTCTAAGGTCCATGGAGAGCCTTGATGTCCCTCACTGCTCTCCCAGGCTAGGGACTCTCACAATGCCCTGTGAAGCCTAAATATCTCCTCTGGCCAGCAAGTACAACAACAAAAAAAGCACAATCTTCTCAAACAGCCTATTCACACTGCAAGTTTTCTGGGCAAAGCACCGGAAGGTTTTATTAAGGCGAAAATTTCCATCAAAACCCCCAAGTTTCCTGTGGATTTCTTCTTGTAAACACTAACTCCAGTCGACAAAGGTTCCTCATGTTGCTGACTGCACACCAGTGCCAACTACAACTCTGAAAAAACCCTCAGGACATACTAACACAAGGCAGAAGCCAAAAGAAAAAAAGAAAAAAATCAACAATAAAAACCCACACCAAGCATAACCTCTGGCAAGGCATTTCTCTTCCCTGGCATCCCATTGCTCTGTCCACAGAGCTCAGCTCCTCTCCAGAGGACACTGACAATTAGCAAGGGCTGAGCACTGAATGTGAGTTAACTATGGTCAACCACTTGTTATTTCTGGAAGGACTTGGTGGGTCCTTCAGGCTCAATCTCCAGTACCATTTCCATCTCCTTTGCACTGCCAGGGCAAGGCAAAGCAGACAGAGCTGCTTCAAAGACATTCCATGGATTCTGCTGGAGCAGGAAAGTCCCAGCTGAGCAGCCAGGATGGAAGGAGCTCTGCTACTCATTGGAGCTTGTTCGGTGGGTGGCAAGTGTCCAAGCTGGGAGGAAGGAGGGGTGGGAAGCACGATGCTGCAGAGCAGGGGTGGGTTCCACTTCAGCAGCTGTGGAGGCATCTGATTTCTAGATGACTCGCGGCCTTGGAGCAGCAACTGCTCCTGACCCACCTCCCAGTGCCTGCAAAACCACCTCGTGCAGCTATCAGAGAGCCAGCAAGGACCATCGTGGGAGCTGAAGGTAAACAGGAGGTATGTGGCTGCTGGAGAGCTCAGTGTGCACTCACAGCCCAGAAACCAACCAAATCCTGGGCTGCATCAAAAGGAGTGTGGCAGCAGGTTGAAGGAGGTGATTCTCCCCCTCTGCTCTGCCCTGGTGAGACCCACCTGGAATACTGTGTGCAGTTCTGGTACCCTCAGTGTACGAAGGACATGGAACTGCTGGAGTAAGTCCAGTAGAGGCCACAAACCTGATCAGAGCACTGGAGCACCTTCCCTATGAGGACAGGTTGAGAGAGTTGGGGCTGTTCAGCCTGGAGAAGAGAAGGTTGTGTGGAGACCTCAGAGCAACCTGCCAGGAGCTGAAGGGGCTCCAGGGAAGCTGCAGAGGGACTCTTGGGTAGGAACTGCAGTGATAGGACAAGGAGCAAAGGGTACCATTTGAAAGGGGAAATTTAGGTGGGATCTTAGGAAGAAGCTTTTCCCTGTGAGGGTGGTGAGACACTGGCACAGGTTGCCCAGGGAGGCTGTGGCTACCCCAACCCTGGCAGGCTGGATGAGCCTTGAGCAACCTGATCTAGTGAGGAGGTGTCCCTGCCCAGGGCAAGGGGACTAGATTAGATGACTTCTAAGGTCCATTCCAACCCCTACAATTCTATGATTCTCTCTGCTTGAACAACCAGCCTGGAGCAGGAGCAAGCAGAGCACATGAGGCAGAGCAGACCCAAAAGAAGAGCTAAACACAAAGTAAACATCTGACTCTAATCATTGGATCCCCCACAGCTTGTTCATCCATGTCAACTGTTCAAATAACCTGACTGGGGGGGAGACAACACCCAAGCAGAGCTGCACACAGGAGCAGCTAGAAAATCCACCATGCATACAGCTCATCATCTTCACCACGCAGAGGTTTCGGGTGACTGCACACCCAAGCCCAAACCCAGTCTGGGGCAGTCTGAGGGCTCCCACCCAGTAATGTTTTCAATGTATTTTACTAAACACACACACACCCTTCAGCATAAAGCACAGTCCCCTCAGCTGCTTTCTAAATTTTCTAGAGGAAGAAGTGCCATTGCTTTGCCAAGGCTTTTGTATAAAAGCACTGACCATGAAGTGACATAGCAGCAATTCTTTGCTGAGCCTCAGGAAGCTCAAACCAAACCATACTACAGATGACACAGGGATGACAAAGCAGAAGGGAACAAAATAAACTGAAAGATTTGGTAGGCAAGGTTATAAGCTGCTCCAGAAACACGCAGCTCAAAGATGATGGGATGGCACACGTGCCTGTGGTGGAACAGGCTCAGGTGAGAAGAAATCAAAGGGCAATAAGAAAAAAAAAAAGTTTCTATAGGATTTCTGCTGAAATCTGCCCAGAGCAGCACACAAGTGACATTTCGATGTGGAAATCTTTTACCTTTATTCATTTAGCATTTGTTTCCTGATTTATTAACTGCAAGATGACCAAGACTTTTCCTTCATATCATAATGCAACAAATTTCTTCAGTTAACAAACCAACACAAAGTGATGCTATTTATAGTCTCCTGTTCTGTGCATATGTAATGAGAACACATGAAAGGTTGTAGAAATTAACCTTGGACTGTGCTATCTGTAAGAGACTCAGAGCTCAAAAGAAAGAGTAAGCAAAAGCAGATCTGAAGGCAAGTCATCAGGTTGTTCTTTTGAAACTCAGAACTGAAAGGAGCTGGTTCATGAAGTCAGCTGTGGTGCAGAGGATTTCACTGCAGGCAGCTTTCTCCAGGAGCCAAAAGGTGTTTTCATTAAGAAGAACACATCACAAACAAGAACTGAAGAAACTCCAACTGGATGTGATCCTTCTTTGTGAAGGATACAAGAAGCAGACACAGGTTTCAAGTCACATCAGTTGGAAACTTGTGTCTTAGAAAACTAAAAGTCTAGGGATAAACATGAGAATTGGTGCAGGGTGAAGTCACTGCAGAGATATTTAACAACAAAGAAATAGTAAAAGGTTCTTCAGTTTGAGAGAGAAACAGAGCTGCAAGCAAGGGCAGGGCAGAGATTTAGAGAACTCCCAAGTGCAACACAAAGTACCAAATTTGACTTTGCATCATTTTTAAAGAGGGGTGGTAAGGGTGATCCTGAGGGCACCAGCCCAGGCGTTAATCTGAACAAGAACATTGGCAGAGGGAGGATTAAAAGGCTTCATAAAAATTGTGAGGGTTGGCTCATCTCGGGTTTAGAATCCGAACCAGATAGGCTCATACACTGCAGGCCAAGAAACAGGATTTATAAACCTCTTGAAAGGCAACAATAGGAGTTAATAAACATGTGGCACATTGGAGGGGGCACTGCAGGGGAGAAAGAGAAGGGAGAATGATTGCAGCCTCCCCAGGGCTGGTAGTCTGACTCCAATATAAAGATGCTTTGCAAGCAAAGAGGATTAATGTGACACAGAGAAAAAGGAGGAAGAAGGAATAGTTCAATTTGCCAGACTAACCTGAAGGTTCTCAAAAAAAGTGATCTCTTTAGACAAATCTACTATATTTTACTCATATGGACTTGAGAGAGCACAAAGAGATTTACTGGCTAAGACAGATTGGCAGAGGAATGGGAAAACAGACAAAGGAGCTTGGCTTAGCAGCAGACAGCCCCAGGTGATGCTGAATAAGAAAATACCAGCCTGGAAACCAAGGACATGCCTCAAGAATCAGCCTTGGGAACATCTGATTTTGTCAGGAATGACCTCAGCACAAATACTGCACCCACAGAAATGAGGCAGCTCCAAAAAGCAGAGGCACAAAGCTCCAAGTAACAGAAACAGAGGAGGGTTTTGAAATAAGGGAAGTGATGCACCAGCAAGAGGAATACCAAGAAATCTTGGAGGTAACTAAGGTGAACTGGCCACCACAGACACATCCATGACACAGAGGTAAGTGGAAGTGATTGTGACACATTTAAGGCAGCAGTGAGAAGCTCTCCTGGCCAAATCTGCTCTGGAGAACACCACACACAGGACAGAGATCCATCCACACCACAAACAACAACAGTTGTTATTCAAGAAACTGCTAGAGAACACTTGGGTCATTTAGCACTACAAAACCACAGGTGAGAGTTACAACCACCTCTTACAGAATGCAGCAAAGAGGTAAACCACTGAAAATAAGCAGCAGTCCTTATGCAGGGGGAAAATGAGGGAACAGAAACTCAAACAAGTATATAAACTGTCATGAATGTGTAGTCTGGGAACCAAAAGGAGGTTCCTAATTGCACAGCTACATCTGTCATCTTCAGTAATGGTTTAATCTATGCAAGGAGGGAAGAAAAGATGGAAATGTTTTTAGGCTAGACTAAGTTCACAAAAGGGATTATGAGATATTGCTTGGGAAAGAAAGGAGCTGGGTGACCCAGGAAGTCTTTTCCAGCACTAAATTACCATGAGACTAACATAGCAAGTATATGCTGTCTACACAACCACAAAGAACAAAGGTTAAAAGTTTGCTTTAAACCCACACAGCTTTTGGAAACCAAGAAGCTGGCTCTCTTCCTCCAGACTGAGGAAGCTTAAGAGCCTTGGTTTCAGAAAAAGAAGGGGGAAAAAAAGTGAAGATACATATATTTTGAAGTAGTCTGAACTCCAAACTGGCATGTTTCTGCATTTGCATAAGGACAAGTTGTTCTGTATGGTGTTCCTATAACGAGACACAGTGAGAGGCGTTCGCTTCATTGTCACATAGGCACAAGTGTTTGAAATCAATCGTGCATTTCTTCTTAATAGGAGGCACAGGAGAGTGAGCAAGACAAAATCTGAGCTTAAACTAATCTAATTACTTACTCCATAGTAAGGCAAACCACAGCAATGACTGCCAGCATTCCCACTTGCTTTAAGCTGACTGCATGGTTTAAAGCCTACTCTGACGAGCCACTCGCCAATTAAGTTGTACTTCAAAGTCATGTTCCCAAACTAATTTACAGCTGTTGCTAAAAAACCCAAGGATTTCTCCAAGTACACTGCCAGCTGTAGGGAATCTGTAGTTGTCATTATCAAATAAAAATATCAAAGAACATTTCTGCCCTTAAGCCATTACAACATTTCACTTGATTCTTACTTTCAGATGGTGTTTCAGACCGAACATTTGAGTGACAATAGGGAAGGAAAAGGCTAAAGAGGTGGTAAAAACTACACACAGACCAGGCAGTCTGTTCATACCGTTTGACTTGATGGAAGGTGGAGGATGTGGAATTCAGTGGTTCCCTGTGGAGACCAGCTCTGCAGGAACTCTTCATGGTAACTACCTCTCCAGCTAAGGCACACCGTCACAGCCAGTCCATCCTGGGCTACACCCACAGCTCCCCCATCAGCTCTCCTTGCCCCACACACAGCTTCACCGTGTCTCTGCCACCTGAAATCTGAACAAACAAGAGGTACATGAGATGATGTTCGAGCACAGCAGCGGCTGAAGCACAGATGATCAGGACACAGACTTCCCCATCAGAGAGAAAACATATACACACATATATGCATACACATGCATAGATATAAGAGATACATATTTATCCATAAAAGAACTTCACATCATCATGCCATTACTGCAGCTGGAGTCTCTGAACACCATAGAACACAAATTAACACCCCCCCCAACAGCCTGTCTGCACACACAATGTTTTTTCACCTTATATACGACTGCAGAGCTACCTTGGCACCTCCCACGGAACACGCTGTCTTCGGAGCTCCATGTAAACAGGACACACAAGATCTTTCTGCTTGTTAGCACTGCATCAGGCTTGGGAGGGAAATAGCTGCTAGCAGTGAGATTTGACGCTGCCAGGAGTTACGTTAGTGTTCTAATCAAAATAACGTGGTGGATTTCAGAAAGGACAGAAAACATGTCGCCAAGCAGCCTCCAAGTCTTGTGAAAACTGCCCTGTCTTTGCATCACACACAGATAAGAGAGATTACACCAAAACAAAACTGTTCTGCAGTATCTCCTGTTCTCACTGCCTTCTCCACCTTGTCCTTGGAGCAGATACTCTTACCAGCAATTTAACGTACTTTGATGGCAAAAGAACAACAACCTTCGAGTTGGAAGGTTAAAGGGAAGAGTGACACAGCAAAAGAGCCCTGGAAAACCTCAACTACTCCAGTCTGAGTTGCCAGCAGATTGTTTTAGAGATCGTTTGCTTCCTCTCCAGAGGACCATGCACAATGATGCCTTAATAGAGGAATGCCATTTGAGGATGCTAACTACAGAGCTGTGTCCCCAAGGCATTTGTGATTTAGTGCAGCAGGTTGTTCTCTCCTTTTCAGCAGCTTTTGCTCAGTTTTCCTACTGCTGCCATATTCCTGCTTCCACAGAGATGGAGCCTCTCACATCACACCCTTCACAGCATCTCCCACACACAAGAGCACCTACCTACGCAGAGCTCAGTTGCTTGACCAGTGTGGTTTAGAACTCAGTGCTGCCACTAAACACTCATGGCCCAGAAAACCTGTTCTTGGTACACTCACTGAGAAAACCAAGGATGAACTTTCCAGACAGGAAAAGCAGAAGCTGGTTTAGATCCATTTGACTTGATGTCTGCTACAGCAATTTCATGACTCCTTGAGCGATGGTGAATGAGAGGTTAATCGTTTGCCTACATTTGAGTAGCAGGAGCCTAAAATAATATATAAAATATTACATAAACACATTCCAGTCTTCATGCAGAAATCTCTGCTGTGCTCTACACAAGGCTAAGAAATGTGTCAGGAGAAGACAGAGGCACTGGACTGGTGGAGCAGGAGGATGAGAGTTAGACTGCTGTGATCAGCAGCAGAAATCAAAGCTTTGTAGTTAAACATCATTTTCATTAGACTACCCAGAGCCTGTAACAAGGACCTACCCCTATGAGTGAAACCTAAGCACAAAAATCAGCCCATTCTGATGTGTTTGGGCTGCAGAATATATATTTGTGAACAATAATTCACTGAGCAAAAAAAAGCATATGCCTAGTGCTTTAGAAAAATCAAAGTTAAACATAAGATCTTTGCTTTCCCATGAACCATCAGTAAGAGGCACTGAAGTTCTGACTTTTCTCCAAGCTTTTGTCTGGCTTTCCTTCTGGCTTTACTGACACTAGCATTTCAGACTAAGCAGGAACTCTATCACAGAAACATGATTATATCCACACCCAAATAAATGCAACCACACCACTTCAAGAATGCCACTCGCTTTTTCAATAGCTAAAACTCTCTCCATGTATCTCTAGTGAGGAATATCAAGCATTTTGTCCTAGTCCTACTCTTCTGGGGAACAACTAAGAAGTAGAGGATCAAAATCCAGACAAAAAACTGAAACCAAAAGATATCATAGAATCCTAGAGCAGTTTGGGTTGGAAGGCCCTTCAATATCATCTTGTTCCACTCTCTGACCATGGGCAGGGACACCTTCCACTAGCCCAGGTTGCTCCAAGCCCCATCCAACCTGCCCTCAAATACTGCCAGGACACAGCAGTCACAGCTTCTCTGGGCAACCTGTGCCAGTGCTTCACCACCCTCACAGGGAAGAACGTTCTCCTCATATCTCATCTAAACCAACTTTGTCAGTGTGAAGCCATTTCTCTTTGTCCTGTCACTCCAGGCCCTTGTAGAAACTCCCTCTCCATGTTTCTTGCAGGTTACCTTTAGGTACCTGAAGGTGACAATTGGGTCACCCCAAAATTTCTCTTCTCCAGGCTGAACAATCCCAATTCTCTCAGCCTTTCCTCATGGCAGAGCTGCTCCATCCCTCTAATCAACTTGGTGCCTCCTCTGGACTCAGTCCAACAGGTCCATGTCCTTCCTGTGTTGGGGACCCCAGAGCTGGATGCAGAACTCCAGGTGGAATTTCAGCAGAGCAGCAAAGAACTTGAGAAGTGGTTCAGGTCAGGAGCAGCCACAGCCCCAATCCAAGCACAGGCATCATGTGGTGGGATGTCATGTGTTTAGGAAGGTACTAGGCACCTACTAGAGGGAAGCAAAAGCTGACAAAATAGACACAGCCAAGTTCAGATGGGCACTGCAACACAGCTCCAACCCCAGCTCCATACAAAGCATGCTTTTTCCCTTCCTCTATAGCTGCTGGGCTATAGAAAAGAGCTGAAATAGACTATTAATGCCAGCAAGCTCCTGACAAATTCCTACTGTGTGAGGAGTAAAAAGCTGTGCTTGTGAATTTAAAAAAAAAAGGAAAGAAAGAAGAAAAAAAAAAAAATCAGCATCCAAGCTAGCACAGAGATACTTACTGCTTTTTAACTACCACTGTGTTTCTGTACCAAGGCTGATCCTTAGCAGTAGGTGCTTCAGCTGATTTGTTAGATTTGCACAGAGTTGGGGACAGCCTGAAAACTGAAATACAGATGCACAGAGACACAAAAACAGGAGAGGAAGTTAAAAACCTAATCATGATGTTCTCCTTTTCTGAAACCACCCCCAAACATATGCCTTTATGCAGAAGATGTGGGAAGGACTTGGATATTGGCAGCAGTTAAGTATCACATCCTCTCAGCCACGGACAGCAGTTGGGTGAACAGTCCCACAAAACTCCCTGTCTTATCATCAGGTTTGAATGCTGCAGATAGGAAAACAATCTAATAACTCAACTAGAGTGGATGAAGGGAAGGAGGTCAATGTCTCCTCCTCTGTGCAACAACACACTACAGCTTTTGATGTTTTGGTAAAGCTTCACCACAAGAGCAAGTGTGTTCTATCTGTAGCAACAGTAACTGATCAACACACCAGTTCAAAGGGTGGGCACATCCTCTCAGAAAATTTACTTTCTAGAAGGAAGCCATGGCCTTGGGACTGGATCTGAGCAGAAATCACATGTAAAAACACATTTCATAGAATCATAGAATCAACCAGGTTAGAAGAGACCTCAAAGATCATCGAGTTCAACCCTACCGTGGTTATTAGACCATGGCACTAAGTGCCACATCCAGTCTCATCTTCAAAACCTCCAGGGATGGTAAATCTACCACCTCCCTGGGCAGCACATTCCAATGCCTGAGCACTCTCTCTGTAAAAAAATCTCTTCCTAATATCCAACCTCACCCTCCCCTGGCAGAGCTTGAGTCTGTGCCCTCTTGTCCTGCTGCTGGTTGCCTGGGAGAAGAGACCAACCCCCACCTGACTCCAACCTCCTGTCAGGGAGTTGTAGAGGGTGAGAAGGTCTCCCCTGAGCCTCCTCTTCTCCAGGCTGAACACCCCCAGCTCCCTCAGCCTCTCCTCATAGCACTTGTGCTCCAGTCCCTTCACCAGTCTCGTTGCTCTTCTCTGGACCTGCTCCAGCACTTCAATATCCCTCCTGAATTGAGGGGTCCAGAACTGTACACAGTATTCAAGACCATCCCACCTTCATGCAGGACAAGCTTTAGGATGCTCTACAGGGATGTCACATTGGATCAGCTGGGCAAAGAGTATCAGCACACAAGATGCAGAAGAAAATGACAGCAAGTATTTCAGAGCAGTTAATACCAAAACCCAGTCATTGTGATGGAAAAGGTCAGTGCTGAGACCTTATAATATAGATCAGGTGTTTTGTTTTCCTTTAAGAACAGAGTCGCATGTCCATTCCCCACCACTGAGCTCAAGTTTAGATGGTTACATGATCCTTGTCTCTAAACATGCAATTCTGCCATCTCCCAAACTAGTCATCCCTCCTTCCCCAAACACCCCCAGGACACAGGTAACAGCACCAGACCCTCCTGAGTTTTTTTTTTCCCTAGTCCCAACATTCCCACTGGGAGTGATCTACAGCAGCTCCCAGACTAGGCTGGACAGCAAGATGACCTCATACTCAGCCTCAGACACCTACAGGAACACAACCCTTCCTTTTTAACCATCCTTCAGGTAATATGTAAAACACCTTAAAGAACAGTCCTCAAACAGAAAAGGAACCACCACAAACATTGTTTGCCTTGCGAAACCTCATGTGCTCTGCTTCCTCCCTGTCTGATGGTCAAGAGGGATAAACCTGCACAGATCTGATGTTATCTAATCTAAAAGCAATTAAAAACCACAGGGGCTGAAATAGATGTGGGAGAGCTTCCTGAGTCTACTCGCACTCCAAAACCAGCTGATACCACCTCTTCTAGGCACAGGGAACCAGAGCTGCTGAAGAACCAGGACCTCATTACCACTGCCCTTGGCTCATTCCCCCACCAAATTCACTCCAGCCCTTCTCAAAGCTCTGCTAGGCTTCTATCATACTCTGAACCCTGGATAACACCACCAGACAGAGCCATTACTTAACAGAAATCTGAAGATT